GGCATAGGAAAAATGTGGCAAACACGGTACAAATATCCCAAATTAAAACTCAATTCCTTTATAAAAATCTATACTAAACAAATACTTTGCCACCAGAAGTGCTTTCAGATAAAGTAATCAGTATTTCGAATAGAAAGAAAGGAGAAGATTTCGAGGAACCATGGTAAATCCATGCAACCACTTCCGTCAGTACGGTAGCTGTGTGAGCTTTGCTAGTTACAATTTGTTTGCTTAAATGCTGAACATGAGAACAGAGAGGAAACAGCCAAAGATGGTTCATTTTGTAAACACCCATAAAGAAACTGGGAACCTCAGCAACATGGCAACTGCCAGCAAGCTTTCCGAGTCCTTGAAGGAAACTGCAACCAGTTCAATCAGGAAAGAATACTAAGAGGGAGAAAGCATATGTTTCAGCATCACAGCAACAAGGTTTCAGACAGTACAGCAGATGCTGTACCACAGGACTGGGTTTTGGTTTTGTTTTTGAATCAAAGCAGTAAAAACCAAAACCGACAAAAGTATTTCCCGTGTCTCCCTTTTCAGCTCACAGCAACGTTCTCAACAGCGTTGTTTTTTCATTCTGGTGTTTGTTGTATCCCATCAAGTCATCACCAATGCATATAATTTTTTCTGAATACTCACAAGAAAGGCTAAATAAGAAATATAAAAGAACCTAAGAGCACTAGGAATGCTCTCAGCTTTAATCCTGTGACTTCTGATCCTGTCAAGATATATTCCTTTCAAGAAAGCTCTTTACTTCTGAAGCATGTGCTGATGTCGTCACTGCCTTTTTAACAGTTCAAGCACATCAGATTTTAAACAAACAAGGAAAAAAAAAAAAGTCCTTTTAAAATTCAAATGTTAACACTGGTTCCAGTTATACTGAAACAGCCAAAAGGTATTTTTCTGCAGCAGTACAGTACTCAAGTAACGCTGTTAAGGTAAAGCTTTTAAAAAAAGAAAAAAAACATTACTGACTTGATGATTATGTAATATGTAAATTCAGTTTCACCTTCAGAATAGTGCAGCATAGCACAAAGCCCAGGAGACAACAAGAAGCTGTTCACAGAACTGGAAAAGCCTCCCCGGGACTAAACACAGAGCCATTGCCACAGAAGAAAATATACGTGAATTGTAATGATTCCATCATAATTAATTAATTGACTGCTTTCAAAACAAATTACCCCGCCTTAAGAAAAAAAAAAACAAAAAACCACCACAAATTCCTTACATAAAGAGAAGAAAAATTTTGAAGCTTATGCTTCAGAAGTAAAATCAGCCTGCTGAAACGTATTAAATTAATGAAAACAAACTAGTTGGCTTTGCTTTCTCAGATAGGATCTCGTGTTCACTGTTCAGTTTGGACTTCGACTGCAAGAAATTCTGAAGCCCCCATGAAGCAATATTTTCATTCATATTCAGGGAAAATATATAAATATAACAAGTACTGTATTTCAAAAAACACAGTTCACCTTTGCTTTCAAATCAACAGCACCTGAGGGTGTTTAGTCCGTCACAACCTAGAAATGGTTAAGCACACAGCTCTAATGTACACTCAGTGCTTCTTTAATTTATAATCTCCTAAATCAAATTACCTAGGAAAATGACCAGAAGAATGCCTGTGCTGGTGGAGCACAACATATGACAGCCTAAATCTGTAAAAGTGCCCTCAAAATATGAACCCAGAGCAGAGACATTCCCTCAAAGAGAAAGGGGCCACCTGCAACACAGAGAAAAGTAAACAAGCAGGGAAGCAGTGATCCTCCTTCTCAATAGAGCGACTCAGACTCCATCTTAATCCTGTCATCATTCATCCCCGCTCAACAGGCACTACATAACGCAGCACTTCTTCTGTTGGGTAACAACACTGAAACTCAGAAGCATTTCCAGACAGCACTAAAATCTGCCATCAGATCGGAATTCTGTACAGTGCTTGCTGACCTGCATGCTCTGACATTATTATGTTAAGTTGCATGAACAGCAGATTGACCCACGAGGCCACACGTCCCACTAATTCCTTCATTTGAAAACTAAGAGCATTTGTGAGTGCTGCATTGTGTTCCCACTGACCACACAGCAGCACTGAGAGGAAAAAAACTAGTACAGAAATGGATCTGGAAAGCTACAGAAATACTCTCATTTAACTAAGATCTAACTGACAAATGCAGTGAAAGCTTTACAAGAGCAGTCAAAAATCACCACAAAAAAATCCAGCTGTGGCAGTCAGGATTTTAGAAGGCTGCCCGACACGTGCTCATGACTGACAGGAAACCTAATAGTCCTTAATGCAGCTTTTTAATTAATCTTCTGCACCACACGTTACAGTTTAAAAGAATTTAATATTATTGACTCCAGGCACCACAAACCTTTATGTCTTATTCCATAAAAGGAAGCTTTGTAAACACAGCATAATGCTTAATTACTGGGGTATAGCTGGTAGCCACGATGGCACAAAAAATGTTGCCAAGTACCCGTATTTGCCCTTACATGCAGTGAGATTTGTTAATGAATTCAAGGCCATTGATGATATCAATCATAATAAAATTAAGCACAGATCTTCTAATATATGATGTACTTCAGCGCGCAGATCTGTCCTGTTTTCACAAACGATTTTGAATTTCAATCCTATTTCCCTGTCATTCACAGCAGCACTCCAGTGCTGTGTGCACAATCAGCAGAGAGGAACGACTCTGGCCCTGCCAGAGCTGCTAGCAGAACTGCAAATGAAACCGAGGGAAATATATTATATATGTACATATTTCAACTCAACCTTCACCTCCCCCCGAGTTAGAATGCTTGTGACATTCTAGGAAGTAAAAATATCCACTGTGAGAGAAAAAGCACTGCTGCTGAAAACGCATTGTTAGCTTATATATCCTGAGCTGCAAGCAAAGCCAAATGAACTTAGACTAAACGTTACATGAGGGCTCACTCCTCTTATTTCAAGTAACACTCAGTAAGCCTTCAGGTATTCTCCCACTTCCACCAGAGACACAACCTCCTCCACCCCACAAGTGGATAATTAAGGATCACCTCCATGCAATTTGTAGAGGTAATGAAATTGTGTATTCACAAGCAACCAGCAGCTCCATTTTAGCACTGGCAACCGCAGAGCAGTTGCACCAAACAGTCACGGTGGTTCCTTCAGTGGTCTAGTGGTCTTGCATCTCCGCATTTCACTCTTTTTTTTTTTTTTTTCCCCCTCCTTTTGTAACGAAGATTTAAAAACGTTTGAAAGCAAAGTTAATATTTTGACCTTTCAACAGCTGACGCCGCATTACAACACTTCTGTTACCCTGGTACCCCGGAGGTGATGGCGCAGGCTGAAGAGAAGCGCTGCCGCCCGCACTGCCATTCACCCCCCGAGCGGCGGCCCGCTCCGATCCGCAGTGCCGGTACGGCCCGCCCGGCCGGGGCCCCAGCGCCGCTGCGACGGCCGCTCGCCTTCCCTTATCCGCTGGCACCGCGCAGATACGAGCGTCGATCACCAACGAGGACCGAGAAGCGATTAAGGCACCGTTTGGAAAGCGCGTTCGCATGAATGGATTCGATTTTCGTTATTTTATTTTTGAGCCAGCGTTTTCGGCAAGGGGAAACACGCTGACGTTTTCTGAATAAACCCTTCCGTGCCGCGATGTGCGCCTGTGCCGCGAGAGGCATTTTCTGAACCAACGCCGCTTCGTATGAACGAGCCGAGCACGAACCGCAGCGCAACCCCGGCCCGGCGGCGGCCTCCCCGTACCCGCGGCAGGAGGCCGCCCAGCCCCGTGCAGACCCCCCCCGCCTTCCCCGTGCCCGTCCCGCGGGCCGCCCGGCAGCGCGCAGCGTGCAGGCATCGCGCCTGAATGGACGGCCAGGTACTTTATGAATGGAGCGATCACGTGCCCACAGCACCTCCCCGGCTGATATTTCCCACATAACCGTGTCAACAAGCGCGGCACCGCACGGCGACGCGCGGCTCCCGAGCGGCCCCGGCCGCAGCCTGCCAGCGGGCCCTCTTCGCCGCGCCCCGCGCCCGGCCCCGCGCGCCCCGAGGGGCGGAGGGCGGCGAGGCCAGCGGGCCCGGCCGGCAGGTCGGATGGCGTTGTTTTTTTTATGAATGGAGATCGTGGTATGCAAATGAGAGCGATTCACAAAAAAAGAAAACATGGCGGCGGCTCCGGCTCTCCACCCCTCGATGGGCCGTGCGGGCACCGCTGAC